TCCCTACCCTGCTCAGCCTTTAGCATGGATGGATCAGTCTCCGTGACTCACTTAGCAATGGTGGCACTGTGTATGATAGACAGCAGTGCAGACTGGATTTGGACCATACAGTGATTTCATTCAAGACACAGAACAGATAGCGGATGACAAATGACTCACAGCCACCGCTGATGAGCTGGATCTGGATTATTGACAGAAATCCAAGTCTCAGATTCGGTCATTCCTCACATTTCTGGTGTAATATAGTTTGAAAATGAACCGTAAATCCTAATGTATTTAATCATTAATCTGGAATATAAATTTGTACACTTCTTTGTTAAAACAGTTTTATGGGAATGTGAGATATGACGTCATATATAAACATTTTCATCCAGTGTAAATCAGTGATATATGCCAGCAGGAAAAATAATTATGTCTCCCTTTTGCATGAAAATCTGGATCCACTTGTCATCTTTGTCTCAAACATCAAAGTAACCACTTTCTTCAAAGATGTAGCGAATTTCCTCATCCAGGTGTAAATGTTCTTCATAAAATATTTTTATCTAGCTTAGAAAGAAAGATTAGAAGGAAGAAGTTTCTTTTTTTAAATTTGCTGCAAAGTTGAATAAGTTTAAGTATGACAATTCTACCAGTGCCTGTGAAATTTTTCAAAGGAGTCTAGAAAGATATAAAACACTTTTTAAAAGTATTATTGGTACACTAACTAATGCACTAAACCATGTTAACTGAACAGAAAGTCCAAACCAGGTTTACCAGGAAAACATCCATCAGGAGCTGGATATTTATCTTGGACACACACAAAAAAGATATAGCAAGTCTTCCTGCATGTTATACAGGAAAAAGTAGCTCTGCCACCTACAGTATCTAATCTTCTGGTTGGTCTTAAAAGTAATAGAAGTAATTATTTCCAAATGGGTTGCCTGATGCAGTGCTTCATATTGCCAACAAGAGACATAACCAAGGATATTTTCTGTCACTACACGGATATCTCTAGGCAATTTATGAGCTATAACGCTGGGCTTTGAAGGGGCTGCTATCCAATCCAACTTGTCAGGAGGTTAAAAAAACTTTGCAATGAATGGAGCGGGTCAGAGAGAAAGTGATAAATGAATGAGTTCCTCAAGGCTTCAAGAAGGATATTGAAGAAAACACTTTTCTACTCAAGCTGGAATGGCGCGTCAATGTACGCAGCTGATGAGGAAGGACTTTCATTCTGAAATACTTCACTGAGAACTTGATATTATTCATACTGATCTTTTTTGAAGCAGTCAGGATGTTAGTTCCCAAATTAAAGTATTTTTCATTTGGGTAACTGCAAAAATCCCTCAAACCCCCTCAAATGTTTAGCACATTTCAGCCTTAAAAAAACCTAACTCAAGGAAAGAAAACTAATTAAAAACTAAATACATTTTGTATGCAGATAATCCCTACAGTATACTTAGCTCTATGGGTGGTTCAACTTTCAAACTGCAAAATAAGCATGCTCATACATTACTTCAAATGTATGGGAGGTCACAAATCCCCTTCCTAATGAATTTGGCAGAAGTTCCAGTTCCCTCTGATGGTGATTATATTAAAATATTCTTGTCACTTAAAATCAATCACCTTGACAACCAGGCAAAGCGAAGGAAGAGTAGCCTCCTTTTTTCTGGGAACACCAAGAAATTACTTATGATACTGCCAGGTGGTTTGCTACTTTCATTTAAATTACCACCATGTATCGCACAGCAATAACCAAGACTAAGCTGGACTATTATGAAATCCACTGGGCAGATGTTTGCCGAAGTTCCCAGCTGGCAATGATCTGACCTTCATTTGGATGATATTCTCACAGTGTTTCCTAGTATTTGTAGGGCTTTGTACACACCTTAGTCTCAACGTGTCAAATGAGAACTGCTGTTAATATGAGAACTACTCTAAAAGGCATCAGGTATAAGCTACTAAAGGGAAAATAACGGCAACCCTCTTGCCCACCTCCAAAAATCCTTGCTAGTTTTAAACATGGAATCAAACCTGTCATTCTATGAAACACAGAACATAATTTAAAAAAATAGGGAGAACACTTAATCTTTGAAGTTTGGGATCTGTGTGCACGCTTCAAAAAACTGTGTATGCTTTAATTGCAGACTTGAGAACTTATGCCTTCCACAATTCAACCTAGGGCAGATTTACCTTGTCTTCATAGTTTGGAAGTTGATCTATAGTTATTATATCCATCCAAGAATAGTTCCTTTGATCCAGAGCTGGCAAGGATTCAGATACAGTCTCATAGTTGTCAGCATCCAACTGAGGGGCAGAAGGAAAAGAAAAAAATTATAATGTAAACTTCCATAGGAGTGTGTCAAAGAGTACCCTAATTTGTGTGTGGGGACAACATTTCCAGTTATATAGCAGCTACTAACAAGTACGGCAGGGTTATCTGTAGGTTATCATGTAGTCTATAGGAAATTTTTTTTTATAAAAAAGCTTGTTTTTCAAAATCAGGCCTGGTGTGCCAGAAGGACTGTCTGGGGAAGTGAACTCAACATGTCTTCTGAGCTGCTCCTACAGGCCGCTGAGAGAAGTGACATTTTGTCATGTGATTAGCCACATGAAATGCTCTACAGCCATCCCCTGACAGAAGTGCACAGCTGCAAAGTGCTTTAAAAAGTGCCTGACTCATTACATGAGAAGTGGAGCATCTTCATTAACTTCTTTCAGCGCACCCTGGGAGCAAGGCTGGGCCGAAGCAGCCCAGTTGTGCCCCCCACACTGTCTTCAGGATGGGAGGAGTGAAAGGGGGTGGAAAG